CAGAATTGATGTATTCTCTAAGAGGAGACGATAAAAAGAAATTATTTTTATAAGTTGCAGTTGGCTTACCTCTGATGTTTCACGGATTTTGTGTAAAGCAGAATCAACCCGCGCGTAAATAGTATTCCTCTGCGGATAAAAAGATAGCATCCATATCTCACGAGATTTACAAGGATTTTCAATGCTAATTTATATTCAAGAAATCATATTGATTGGACTCACCAGTGCAACATCTTGAAGCATTTGACTGATCTGAGAGACATTTGAGAACGGTCCAAACGGGTGACAACCAGTTGCCCAGAGCCAGTTGGTGACGGGTCTTTCATGCGCGTGAGAGGTCTTTTCATATGGTGCACTTACACCACCTAAAGCAGAAGCTATACCTGCAAGTATATGCCGCTGTACTTGTGATGGAACAGCGTGTTGCCTCTCTGTTTCTGACACGTAACTGCAGAAACAAGGTATCATGATCCGAGATGATGACCTAGAGTAGCAAGCTTAACATTGTTTTTTTTAACTTCTATTGTTGTTGCGTTTTGCTCACCTCAAAGGTATTTTCTCGTTTAGATGCTGAAGCACAATGACTACATCACTGCTCGCCCACACGAGGCTCTCATCTTCCATCATGAGCATTGGGTCCACATCGGCTAATGAGAGTACAAACCTATATACAGTGTCAATATTTACATCAATTCCTGTTTTTGGTTGAAAGTGTAATTTTAACACTTACTCTTTGGATCTTGCTTGGCCAGTGTAATGAATAGTTCGATCAGCTGGTTTATATCAATCAACTTACACTGGAATAACTCTTGTTCCGTAAGTCCGGTAGAGATCACCTTTTTTCTTAACGACCGTCTTTTTCTTTCCCTTCTGACGTTTGGAGCTATAAGCTGACCAGAGAGGCTTGTGCTTAACTATGGAATCACTTGAACCTTCAGATTCATCTCCCCAGCTCTGAGTAAAAATATTAGGAATCTTTGTCATGAAAAAAGCCAAAAACTTGTGAAAGAAATTTCCATATAAAATTTATGAGATTTACCTGGCGGAGAAAGTATTTATTAGAAAGTCCAGGGTCAGACACGTCGAGCAAACCAGCAGCTAGAACATCAGTAGACCTTGCCATCTCCTGCAACGGCCAATAAAATCACGCAAGACTTCACTGGTTGGAACAGTTACAGCAGGTTACGAACTATTTTTTCTCTGTTTAACCCAAGATTTTCTAGCTTAACCTAACTATAGAAACTCACTTCTTTGAGAATAGCACCATCAAGGTATGTTTTGGTATGCACATGGAATCTTCCGTCCTTCTTAGTTTCCTGAAGGGAATGCCCACGCATGGCTTTCGAGACGGCAATAGCTAACTTCTCATGGCGATGTAATGGATGAGCCCCTCCAACAATCACTACTTCTTGCCCCTGATGAATCATTTTCTTTACCTGTGAAACTCGGGACAGTTAGCATGTGAAAACTTATAGAGTCAAATCCTTGTGTGTACTTCGGAAAATATTATGGGTGCTAACTTTCTGTTAGTAGCTGACTTGGCTAAGATGTCTTGTTACTAATCATATTGGGATGAAAACAGCATTAAAAAAAGGATAAGAACCTCCAGTTTTTCAGTCACATAATTCATTCAACACAAAAAGTCTTTACCTCGGAATCTATCTCTTCAATATTTAGGCTGTAGTTTTGTCCTCTTTCCATGATATTATATCGATTGTGGTTTTGGAGCACAATGATAGGCACAAGCACTCTTGTTGCTAGATCAACCGTCTCAAACCTGGTTGCATTCAGAATGAATCCTCTAGGCATATTTTTCATTGTTAGATGTAATTAAAGTCTCGAGTATCATATTACCTGACATCAGGGGCAATGACGTGCTCAATCGTAGTAGCTACTAACGCTGCTAACTGACCAGAAAAGATATCATGGGTAGACTGATGACCAACAGGGCTTACGTTTCCTGGAAGCACAATGTTTCGTATCCTTGGCAATGTTCTGGAACTGACACTTCCCTCTTCAGTTTCAATCTTCCCATACGTACAAGGTCCCGCAGACAGATCTATTACAACATATCTGCCAAGAAGAGATGAATCATACATAGCTGTAAAAATTGAGAGCTTAGTTGGAAATTATAGCAAATAAGAATACGAATAATTACGCCAACATTATCTTGAATATTAATTTTACAACCAAAAGCCGACTACTACAATAATCGATTACCAAAGTGAAATGATGTAATAATAAGTGCCTATCTTCTTTGTATTACTCTAAAGTTGTGTTTTTTTTTGCCTATCTATAATCAACAAAAGGGGCAATGATATCACACATCTTTTACGCATAATTTCATGATACCTAGATAGATGTAATGCTTTCAGAATAGGGTGGTACAATTTTATTTTATCACATCTATGACACAATCATATCACTCATATGGAAAAACCCACTGATACTTTTATCCATATATTTCCGCAACTAGGAAAGAAAAACAAAGATGAGTTTACCTGCCTGATCCAAGCCAAACTTGGGATGCTCCTCCACCATTGTATCTATATCGATAAACATAATCTGC